TTATTAGCTTCTTAAACTCCGAATAATAATTAGCTATAGATTCTATTTATTTAAGAGTATATATAGTACGAGAGGCTATTATAGTCTTATTAATCGTACTATAAATCTATTTAATTATTATTTCGAACTATATAAAGTTCCTAAAGTATACCTTAGTTTCGTTATCGGAACTAGAGGACTCGAGGTAGTCGTTTTATACTAGTTTAAACTAATAGAACGCTACTCCTTTAAGATATATTACTACGAATATAATCTTACCCTCTACTCGAGTATACTTAGTTAAATTAAGCTTAAAGGTAGTCTTAAGTTATATAAGAAAGTATCCTAGCTTCTCCCTATTTCTATAGAATAGTTCTACCTTAATACTATCCCGAGATATATTATTAAGTCCTAGTACGTTAACTATATCTACGTCTAAGTCTTCGTCGGAACTACTATCTTAAACGATATTAATCTTTAAAGAATTATTTAAGGCTACGAGTAGACGTACGCTAGGTAGTAGGGATCTAATTCGAGATAATTCTACGTTAGATATCTAATATTAATTAAGTAGTAGTTAAAGTATTATAATCCGAGCTATAAGTAGTTCTAACTAAGGTAGGGTTCCTTAATAGAGCGGATACTAGAGTGTCGACTAAGATAATAAAGGAAATATTTATTCGTCGGACTATATCCTAAAATATAGGTATAGGATTACTAACGAAGTTAACTACGAACTATACTATCTAGGTAAAGGAGCGTATATATATAATATTTAAAGCGCTACTTTAGTGTATTATTATATTATTCTAGTGTAGTAATATAGTAATATATTCTACTAGTTACGTGATGTAGCCTCGTTCTCCATCGGCCGACCTTCTAATAACTATCCCATGGAACGCGGGGCGCCTATCCTGGCGACCTCATCCGTAACCCGGTTCGTAATAGCTAGTTAGGTACGTTAAGTATTATCGAGATATCCTTAAGCGCTACGTTAATGCGTAACCGCCTTATTAGCGTTAAGAACCTACTATCGGAGAGGTCTTTAATAATAGAAAGAATACGGAGGTTCGCTTATAATTATAGGCGCTTATCGTAAGGTTTAATATTATTTATAAAGGCGGTAGATCCTCTAAGATTCTAGGAGGCCTTTATCGATATATATACTACGATAAGGAGTCGAGGAATAACTATAGGCTCGAAGATCGAGTAACGCGTAATTCTAAGGATAAAATTACCTTATTACGTAAGCGTAAGAGTACTAAAGTATACCTAACTAACTATAATTAGCGCGTTAACCTTATATTTATTATAATCGATAAAAAGGATAAGTCTTAAGGACGATAATAGACCTTTACGAAGGTCTTACTTACTTATATAGATTATTCCTTAATCGTTAACTCTTTTACCGCCTATCTAAATTATCGTAAAAGGCTTATAGAGTAGAAGGACTTAATTATAAAGGCTATCGCTTATCGTAGAGCTAAAGTCGTATATTCTAGCTTAAGAAGGATTATAGAGAGTAAGGAATTCGCCCTCTACCTATTCGTTAAGGAGTATTATAATATAATATATAAAAAGCCTATAGATAAGAATAATAATAAATTAATTATTAGTCTCGTTTATAAGATTTAAGAAAGTAATTAGTACTATAAATTTAGGAGTAAGGTTTATAAGGATAAGGAGAGTAAGGTCGTCGATAGAAAACTTATTTAAGTATAGTTTACGTACTTAAAATTAATATTCTATATAAAGAGGTTTATTAGCGACTTTATTATTTATATTAACGATACCTTTAATACTAATAAATTAAAGATACTACTCCTTATCGCTATCGATTAATTAAATAGTAGTAAAACCTTTCCTATAGCCTTTTCCTAGTGTCCTAAAGAGGATAAGGCGTTATATACCTTTTTTTAGTAGTACCTTAAGGATTACTATTTTAACGTACTAGGAGAACCTTCCTACGCTCCTCTACGAGTCCTTATAAGTAACTAAAACGTAGGTATTACGGTATTAGCTCGAAAGCTTTTTCCGAATATAAAGTACTAGTTTTATAACTAGTACGCTATTTAGGTAATAGAGAAAAAGATAAGGGAGTTTAGTATATTAATACTAGAGATTCGAACGATTTATTAGCCGAGGGCCTAGGATTATATTATATTAGTAATAGAAGCTTCTTTAGAGAATAATCGACGACGATTTAGTAACGACGTTAGTACTTAATTTATACGTTACTTATAAGAGACTTAAATTCTAAAGAAGTACCGAGTAATCCGCCTTTATACTATATTAAGATTAAATCGGTATATATTCTCGCCTATCCTATAGGTCGGATAAGGAGGTAGGGCTACGTTGCTAGGAGTTCTCTCTCTTCTAGGACCGTAGGATAAGAACTAATCGACGCTAAAACGAACACTATAGTAGCTACAACTAAAACGATACTCTTTACTCACCTATGTTAGCGAAGGGATAGTAACGCTATCGATCTCTATAGTCTTAAGCCCGCTAAAGGACTATACTTTTAAGACTTCTCGCAATAGACGTGCACAAAGCTATAATAGCTTTATTCGTAAAGGTCACTACCACTAAAACTTAGGCTGTATAGTTGTACAGCCGAACTCGTAGAAGGAAAAACGCTCTCAATTCTATAAACTATACTCTCATGACTACTATCTAATACTTAACGCCCGCTCGCGTACGTTAGGTTTTTCCCTTTTTTTTGTTACTTATCTATTCGATCGTCTCTTTCTTCCTCACTTACTTATTCTTCTATACTAAGGCGCCTTCTCTCTTCTCTTATGACTAAGCGCCTCGAGCCCTAATATAATACTATTAAAAACGCTAACCTTAAATCTACGTTAAGCTAGCGAAGTAAGTCTTATTATAATAGTATTAGAGAGTTAACTAACGACTAATTATTACTAGAAGAGTTAGTAAAAAGGCTTATTATTAAGATTAATTTAGTAATTAAAGATATTAACTAGGACGAGGCCTTATTATCCGCTAGTTACTCGCGACTTACCTAAGGTTCTACCTTCTTATAAATAAGGTTATAGATATCGAATTACGCGATTTTACGCCTAGAAAGAGAGTAGAATATATTAAATATAATATTAAGAGGAGGAGGAGACCTTAATATACTAGAAATTAGCGTCTATAAGTATAAGATCCTCCTACGATTTAGTATTACCTATCGATACTAGTTAAAGAGGACTTATTTATAAGGTTTCGCTATTCTAAAGACCTTTATTTATTCTCGTTAGTAGCTAGGTAGAGGCCCTATTTACTTATCTAATTAGGTACCTTTTTATCTAATAACTAATACTTAATTAATGCCGTCGCCGTAGCTATTAGTACTAGTAACGATAATTTACTAGGAGACGGTAAATTAATTAGTAGAGATTCGAAGTCTCCTTAATTCGTAGGAAGCTTATTAATTAGCGGTGGACGCCGTAAACGTAGAGCATTAAATTACTTATTTTAAGACTCTCTAGCTATAAAGCCTTTTACGTGCGGCGTAACGACGTTATTAAATATAATAGGCACTACTCGACGCGCTAGACCCTCGCCGATAGGGTTATTTAGTAAAGCGTAGTACTTACGGACCTATAAATTAACGCGTATTACTTACTAACGAGGTTAACGAGCGACAACGCCGCTAAAATCGATTAATATAGCTATAATAGGAGCGTTATAAGATATCGTAGTTAATTAATTAAGAGATAGAGTAGTTATTAGATCGCGCGGCGATAGAGTAATAACTATTTAATAAAAAGGAGGATACTATAGAGTTTATTAGGCGCGCGCCTCTTTAGAATATTCCTATAAGCCCTAGGGTTATTTCTATAACTCCTCCTCTACCTAAGATTATTTCTACGAGTTCTCCTCTACTTAAAACCTTAGATTTAATAATTATTACTCCTAAGAGGCTTCGGCTACGACGCGAGCCCTCGCTAGAGGATTCTCCGCTATAGATTATACTAAATGAGCCTCCGACGTTAACTACGCTAGTAGTACTTAGTAGAGTAAAGAGATAGAGGAACTACACTACTAAATTTAACTAGGGTCGATAATAAGAGTTCATTCCTAAGTCCTAGGAGCGATAGTAAAATAGAGCGGAAGAACCTTAATTCGGAGGCCCTAGAGTAGCATTAACGCTAGGTTTAACGCCGACGAGGCTTTATTAAACCTCAGCCTTATCGACGAGGTCTCACGATAACAGTGTAGTTAATAAATAGATGAATAATGGCAGGATATGCAAAATGGGTTAATTTTACGGCTAAATTAGGCCTAGTTTACATTACTTGGCATTCGCTCGCAAACTTATTCGCTCCGCCCGTTCGCTCCTCAGAGTCATTCCCGCTGTAGCTATTTAGCTCTGTAAGGGAGGTGCGTCGGCAGAAGCTCACTATGACCTCATCCAATCAGAGATAACTCCTCGCAAGTGCGGTGGAAGAAAACAGAACTTTAACACCGATCTAACAGCAGGCTCGTAAGACAGACGGGCAAGGCCTTGCTGGATCTGTTTCCTACGTCAGTGATTTTGTTTTGTGTTTGCTTCTGATTTCTGAATCGCTCTCGTGTCCAATGAGAACGTCTATACATAATAATCAACCAGCTGGGGCACCTAAATAGGCTCTCATAGGCCTAAATAGGGGGACTGGACGCCTAGAGCTTATGCCTCAAGACCCATAAAGCACGTATGTTAGGTACAAATAGGTGCATAGATTCTATCAAAGGCCGGGACGCCGCATGATTGACATCAACATCTATCGTCAGCATCGCTCTCGTGTTCGATACCCGACAGTTTAGCGGCGGACCATTTTTCTTGGAGCAACGTGACAATGATTCGTTCTGTAATTACAACGTGAAATTAGTCCGCTTCCGACCATGGCTAGAGGGCCGGTGGCTTGTCTTATAACTCACGTCGATGATAGTCTTGTTATCAAGTCAGCCATTCGCTACGTCCGAAGATTGAAGAAACACACACAGGACAGCAGTGAACCTGACCAGCAAAGATGGCTAAAGACCTTCCTTACCTCTATCTTTGTGTGTTGGTGCTGGGTGTCTTCGGGATCTACCGTCTACTCCAGGTAGGAAAGCGAGACCCAAGAATGCCAAAAGGCCCCCCTACACTGCCAATATTAGGCAATTTCCATCAGATTCCATCCACTGGAATGTACAGGCAGTACGTAAGAAGACCTTTTCATATAATTACCGCAGGCTCAGGATTGGTAGATTTCGTGAATGGGCAAAGGAATATGGCTCTGTCTTCTCACTAAAGTTCGGACCTTCGAACATCATTGTCCTATGCGATCGAGAGGTAATTCACGAGCTTCTCGACAAGAAAGGGAGCATTTACTCAGACCGACCTACAACATACGTCGGGAACTTATTAACGCAGGGAGATCATATTGCAATCTCGCCAGCGGACGCTCTGTGGAGAGAAAAGCGTAAAGTGATTGCACATAACTTCTCTCCAAAGATGCTTGACGAGAAGCATTTTAGAGTTCAAGAGGCCGAGTAAGCTAGTCGATGGTTGACTTCGTTATAAATTATAGTGATTTCTTGGCTGACTTGCAATAGAGGCATCGTTTTGATGAATGACCTCTTAACGAATCCAGAAGGCTTTTTCAACCACATTCGTCGATACACCGCCTCGGTAGCTGCTACCTTGGTCTTCGGCCAGCGAGGCTCAACATTTAACTCCTTCTGGGCACATGTCAGTAATTCTCAAGGCTTTTATGATAGTGTCTAACGATGCTCTAGGGTGTTTTCGACGTTATGGCGAAGGTAAGAACCCTATTGCAGCGATTACTACCTCAGCTAAGTGCCGCAGTGGACGGAATGTATGGAACCAGGTGCCAATCCCCCAGTAGACGAGTACACCTTCTTACAGTACACTCCTGCAAGCTTGGCCCATTGGAAGAAGCGGGCATTACAAGCAGGAGATACCATGGACGCTGTGTGGGATCGAGCACGCAAAATCGTGGATACACGAAGGGCCAAAGGTGATAAGCGTGACTGTATTGCCGACCGCCTTTTAGACGAGTATAATGAGAAAGGCTTCCCAATGAGTCAACACGCCTTCAACAATCTCATTGGGGAGCTGGTCGAGGGAGGTGCGGATACCACAGCGGCTCAGTTACTAACAATGGTTCTGGCCCTTGCGCGAAATCCCGAGGTACAGAAGAAGGCGCGGGCTGAGATTGACCCTTTATGTGGAGCTTCTCGATCACCCCAGATGAGCAAGGACTTCGCGAGCCTTCCGTACATTAACGCCGTTATCAAAGAAGGTATGAGGTGGCGTCCAGTGTATGTATACTTCGAATCTCAACTACTAGATTGTTTGCTGAGCCTACATGCGTAGGGCTGTCACTGCGCTCCCTCACAAAGTTAGACAAGGTATGCTCCCACTCCGAAACTCTTAACAGAAAGTATAACCGTGTGAAAGACGATTACTATAAGGGAATGCTTATTCCGAAGGGCTCCACGATTTTTATCCCTACATAGGCTATTCATTATAGCCCGGACATTTATCCAGACGATGAAGCCTTTAATCCGGATAGATTCTTAAACTACCCTAAGCTATCTAGCGAGTATGCTGGTAGCGCTAATTGGAAAGATCGAGATAAGTTCCTCTACCCAGAGATTTAAGGATGCTTAGCTAACTCTAACCTTACACCACTATGGTTATGGGGCTGGCCGTAGAGTCTGCCCAGGGATGCATCTAGCCGAGCGCAATATGTGGCGCATTACCTCTAAGTTGCTGTGGGCTTTCGATATCAGTGAACCAATTGATCCTACTACTGGCAAGACGATTAAGCTCGATCCAAATGCCTATAATCCCGGTATCACGCAAGCTCCCCTGCCATTCCCAGTCAGAATAACTCCTCGAAGCTAAGAACACGTGGCCGTTCTCCGAAAGGAACTCCAAGCCGCATTGGAATTTCTGGCCCCATTTGAATCGAAAGAATGATGATCATTACGCATTGACCTCTGACAAGACTTGCGCACTACGAGGTCGACTGGGTTCCATGGTCTCATCAAGACCTTCAGCAGCATATATCGCGCACGGCAAGCGGGACCCAAGAGATCGCTCAGTGTACGGACCGCGGATGCTGGAAGTGTTCCGTTCTGTGACTACAGTAGTGACCATTGGAGATGGGGATCTCGTTAAATGGAAAGACTGGTTTCGCAAATTCATTCCTAAAGAAAGGTGGAAGGGCCTAGATAGTGACCCATCCTTGCAAAATAATACAAACATGCTAGGAAGCAGCTGACCTTAGACATTCTAGAGGGATCAGAAGTAGTAAAGGGTTGAACCATGGTGATGCTATGCGTAGCAACCGTATGCTTCCTTAAAGGGCTTATCTACTAGAAATCAGCAAGGTGTGCCGACAGTCCCAGAACCGAGAAGAGGGCCTAAGCGAGCATTTAATCAACGTGTTGATTGTCTATCAAACCCTTCCCCAGCTCAACCGACAAATCACACAAGGAACCTGAGTGTTAAAAACCAAAACTCAAACCCGGATTTTCGCCACCAAGGTTAAAGTTTGAAAGGGCTGGTCTCACCGCAGCACGGGAGGTCTTGTCCTTGCTGCAAGAATTCACGGGTGGGACTGCACCGACCTCAATAGCAAGACTGGACTGGCTAGGCGTTCCCGGGCGGAACCGCTGCCACGGGGAATCTGCTGGGACTTTCAAGCGACTGCACCATTTGGGACTTTGGCTGCTGGTTTCGAGGGGCGTTAGTCTAGATAATAATGAGCTTTCACTTGGTGCGGAGAGCCCTATAAGAAGCCAAAACACGAAATAAAAGCTCATTATTGTCGAGGCCAAGCCCCAGTGCTTACCAACCGAAGTGGCTAGGCACGCGTCTTTGGTCATGGCGCCCGCGAAGAAGCCAATTCGCTGATCAACTCTGGCCTGCGACGGCACCCTGTAAGCTCCCGCTGGAGCTACAGTAGCCAACCAGGCAAAATGTCAGCTGGATGACGCCTCTTTCGAATGCCCATACCCGCTGGTGCCCGTGATCTGCACCACCACAGCCGAGGGTAATCCACCATGGATGGCACTGCGGGGTCACCTGAAGGGACTAATTGCGAAGCGAGGTAATGCCGTGCAACTTTGCCCTCAAGATCACCCTCCTAATGACGCCGGTAGCCCCCGTTGCCCAAACCCGCATCCTCTGGCGTTCGTGCTGAGAACGAGGCTAGAATTAATTCAAGCGTTTGATTGCCCCAAAAACATGCCTCAGGACAGGCTGAATGATCAAGCACCGGATCGGGGAGACGTACAAGTGACTGGCGCTGTGGGGAGATCTCTGCTGGCATGCAGCGTATGTCGAAGGCAAGTTTCGTCCTCTTCTTGACGACTAGTGACCAGACGTGACAACCTGAATACAGGAGAAAAATCAAATGGTAAGTTTCTGTCATCCTACACACGCGCCAACCATTGGCAAGACATGTTTGTCGGCTAATTAATTGGATGAAGCGATCGCACGCTCCCATCGTGTCTGCTATGTGCGAAACTCAAGCAAGGATGCATTTATCCGGCCAGACGATTAAGACCTGGCCCAAGAGGCCGTGGGTTTGGCGTTAGCAGCAGCTTTGTCAAGAAAGCGGACTGACCAATGTCGCCAGGGATATCCTCACAAGCGTGGAAGATAGGCCACGTGGCTGCTCCGGAAGAGCAGCAGCAATGGCACGACGACGCGGATGTGGTGGTGCAAAACGACAAAAGCGTCGTTTCCGAGTCTGGTGATGACCAGAGAACAGCATATGATCCAGGCGACGACTCCGACTTCTCAAACTCACCGGAGGCGGCAATCAATTTCGTGAAAGCCATCAGTCTCTCAGCACTCATCCATCCAACACACGAGCCGTGCTCCAGCCCAGAGCTCGTACCAAAATCCTCGGTATCATCCGGCTCCCTATTGAACTTAGTCGAAGCGCAAACTCTGCTCACGGAAACGTGCCATATGTTCCACATGTCTATCCAGGTGTTTCAGCATTTGTGAGTGTGAGCCTGTGTAGTATACTGATAACCACTAATGTAAAACAGAACCGACTCGTATTTTGACAACATGACCGCCTTTTCCCTCTTCCATCGGCCTTCTTTTGGCCAAAAGATTCAGGATATCAAAAACCCTCTTCATTTACAGGCATTATTTGCTGCCATGTTTTCGTACTCGGCAAAGTTTGAGCCTTCGAGCTCGTCGGAATTGCGACGAGCTCCGATTTTTCACCAATTCGCGTTGGACCAGATCGAAAGATCTATCAAGCAACTACCAGACCAACCGCCGCCCCTTTGTCTGCTCCAGGCCATGACCATTGTTACATTCTGTGAGCTGACGAAAGGCGTACGAGCGCGAGCGTGGAGGCTCGTGGGCTCCTGTGTCCGGCTGGCCTACGAACTTCATATGCACCTGATCGACTACGAAGCACGTGATGAAGACGTCAAGATTGGTCGCGATCTTGCGCGCTGGACAAAGGACGAGGAGCGAAGACGATGTTGGTGGGCCATCTGGGAAATGGACACTTTCGCAAGCACTATCCGTAGATGTCCCACCGCTATCGACTGGAATATGATTGACACATATCTCCCCGTCCAGGACACGTTCTGGTTTAATAACCACTATCACCCAAGCTGCTTTTTGGAAGTCGAGTCGACTGATCAATGGAAGATGCTCACAAAGTACGGAAATGAAAATCCGAATTCCTGGATCATCGTCATCAACGTCATCATGAGAACTGCTCAGGTTCTTCTTCGAGGAAATCTTCATGGGGTCCTGCTCAACGTGAACCCCCACAATAATTCTGACCAGCTTCTTCACTATTTTCGGAATTCCTTCCGCAAAAAAAGGACGCAAGAAGACTCGATGAGGTTGAAGACTCTCATTCAGGCGCTTGAGAATGTCACCACCAACTTGTCGAACTCACTACTATACCAGGGAGAGCGTCTCGACTTTGGGTGTGACGAAGCAGGACTCGTCTTGGACATCGACCGAGCAAAATTACATTCGACTAAGTACAGCATCTATGTCACGATCCAGCTTGCTCGGTTCATGATATATCATCATTACGCGTTCGGAGAAATCATCTCCGGCACCATATTCTCGGAAAAGCACAAAGCCGAGAAGCAGCTCCACTCGTCATCAGGCCGAGGACCATCCCAGAATACGCAAGGCCTGCAGAATTGCCTTCAGGTGGCTGACGATATGTGCGCTTTGATAGAGAGATGTGCAAAAGATCATGTCAGATATGTCAACCCTTTCCACGCAAGCACAGTGTGGTTGGCAGCATCGCTCCAAGTCCTGCGAGACATTTTCAGCACTGGCGAAGATATGAGCCAGACGAAGGCCAAATGTGACACACTCCGCAGTACCTGTGGGGTTTTCACCGAATTCTGGCAAACTCCCCTAGCGTTGTTGGAGAATCTGGATTCTTTGGCTAGCCGGCTCTCGTCTTATCGTGACTTGTCACTTGTAACAGGTGCAAAGAAACATAGTATGACTCCAGCAAGTCAGCCTCCAAAATTGAATGCGTCTTTCGCCGCACGACTGACACAGCCACAGTATGGAACTGCAGATGAACCTCTGGGCGCCCAGAGTGAGTTTAGGAGTTCATGCATAGCCACAAATGGGCAATTTCTGGGATCAACCAGTGGCAGTTATGACGATGGGACATCAGATGCGCACTTGGCTGCACTCGGCCCTCCGTTCCAGCCACATATCTCCTGGGCGGACGCTCCGATGGACTACAGCGCTGTCAGGACAATCATTGATGGCCAAATTCCTCGAGGTTTGTCGGACTCTGAGTATGGACAGCCGTGCCGCCGTTCCACTCCTGGTCAAGACTTCTTCACAAATTACGAACTGGACTCGAGCAATGAGGTTGAGTTAGACAAAGCGATATCGCAGTATCTTTTGGACATGTTCTCGGAGCAATGCTAGGGTAGTTGCACGTGTTCGAATATCATTTTGAAAGACTTATCTGCCAAAGGTTTGGCCAAGTGTTATCGATATCGAGCGAACAGATGGTATGGATTACGATAGCCACTCTGACCTCAATCGCACCGCTACTCAAGACTGTGCACATGCCCAAGAGAGACGGCACTACATCGCAATACTTTGAAGAATTCCACTCCCACAATTTAAGAAAGCTTAAACCCTTTACCAGGATCCAAGGATGCAGTGAAGTCTCCTTTCTGAGTCTTCATGTCAACTGGGAACGACAGGTGCTCATGGATCCACCGCCACTTGCCATCCTCGGGACTCTTATGCGCAATACCAGTACGTCTGAAAGCAGTGTCGAAGGCAACTCCGCCAGCCGTACCCCAGGTGTGCTGGATCATGGTCGAATATGCAAACTCAGATGACACCGCTGTGATCTCGAGGTCCTTGAATTCCATTGACCCATCATTCCAGTAGGGGAAGATGGACTCAAAGTGCTCATTGAAGTTGCCTCGGATCGTGTTTCCGAACATGTCATAGCTGAGCATATCCGGGAAGCTGTAGAATCGGCGCGCTCCTGTCATTCCTTTGTGGAAGTCTGCGCGCGATTCGTGGTTCCAGTAATGCAGCCACCCGCGGTAGAGTTGGTCTAGGACTTCTTGTTCGACCGCTGCGAGATCTGAGTTGTGCCACTGATTCGATGAGCCTCTTGGTGTTTTTGTCTACAGAAGAGGAGTGGATACTCACCCTGCTCTTTGGCATACGAAGGAAGTCATACTGTGCAACGATAGAATCGTACGATTTCTTCATCGCGTATTAGCAATCTTTTTTCAGGTTCTTGTCGTTGCGTAAGGAGCACGCACATCGTCTCTCACAAATCCATTTTCATCCATCTTGTTTTCGAACCGTTCTCACTGGACAGGATGTCTCGAATGAGAGAACTCAGGTAGTGTCGGTGGAAACTGTTTGATGAAGGCAACGGATACGGAAGCAGGCATGCACAAACACTGCTTTCTTGCTCTTTAATACAATAATATCTGACGTTCCTTGATTCAGACCCGGGTATTCCCCGTCGGCAATATCCGGCATACGATAGTAAGTCCGGGGTCGTGAGTCCGTCCGACCTAGCCCCACAAAAGACCGCCAAAGTAGTTTGCAAGATATGGCACTGCAACAGACTTCGGCTGGTCGAATTCATGTGCTGTCAATGAGTCCGTCCGTGCTATGTAGACGGAGAGCGACTTGTGCGGACTCCGGAACTCCGGAAATGGTCCACACGCAGGACGATCAGAAACGCGGCTTGAAACCAGACGATATAGAATGAAGCAAGAGCTCTGTGACCCATGAGTGCGTGTGAGAAGTCGACCAGAGAAATCATTGACTCATCTTTGTGCACTATTTGCTCAACTCTGAAAATCACCATCAACGAAGATTTTAAATAGCTCCAGGCAAGACACAGAGTCAACAACCATGGGTTCGATGCCGAATGGAGCTCAATACGATGTCATTGTCGTAGGCAGTGGGTTTGGAGGCTTGTATACTCTACATGAACTCCGCCAGCGTAACTTCCGAACCCTCGTCATCGAGGAAGCTCCAGATATCGGAGGCGTCTGGTATTGGAATATCTATCCTGGAGCTCGTGTGGACACCAAGGTCCCCCTCTACGAGTTTTCCAACGCCGCTCTCTGGAAAGACTGGACATGGAGTGAGAAATACCCCGGCATTGAGGAAATTCGTCGCTATTTTGAACACGTCGAGTCCAGATTGCACCTGAAAAAGGACATACTCTTCAACACACGGGTGGTCGGCGCCGACTTTGACGATACTAAAGGCCACTGGGTAGTCAAGACCAAGGACGGCAAAGAAATATCTGCCCAGTTTCTCGTCCTGGCAACCGGATTTGCCGCGAAGCCATTCATACCCGATTTCAAGAATCTAGAAAAATTTCAAGGCCCCTTTTTTCATACCTCCCGCTGGCCTCAGGGTGGCATCGAATACACCGGTAAGAAGGTCGGCGTCGTTGGCAATGGGTCGAGCGGTCTCCAGGTCATCCAAGAGATCAGCCCGTCGGTCAGCCACCTCATCGTCTTCCAGCGCAACCCAACATATGCATTGCCAATGCGTCAGCGCACGCTGACAGTCGGCGAGCAAGACAAGTCTCGATATGAGGCGATGTTTGAGCTTCGTAAACACACATTTGCAGGCCTTGATGCGGAATTCAACTTCCAGACCGACACGACGCCGGAGCAGCGACGCGCGTTCTTTGAGAAGATTTGGGACGATGGGGGCCTCGCGTTCTGGTTGGCCACTTATCGCGATGTTATAATGGACAAGAAGATCAACAAGGAAGCCTACGATTTCTGGCGAAGCAAAACCCTTCCGCGCATCACAGATCCCGAAGTGGCGGCGAAGCTGGCCCCCGAGACGCCACCTTATTACTTTGGTACCAAGAGAGCGACGTTGGAGCAACGTTACTACGAAGTCTACAACCAAGACAACGTTGATCTCGTCGACGTAAAGGACAATCCAATTACGGACGTGAAGGAGAATGGTGTCGTGACCAAGGATGGGCAGTTTCATGAGCTTGACATACTCGTCCTCGCAACAGGATTTGACTCAGTAACAGGAGGCATTCTGAATCTCAACATCCGTGGCCGCTCTGGACAGTCGCTGCAGGAGAAATGGAAAAAGGGAACTTGGACGCACCTGGGTCTGACTACACATGGGTTTCCCAACATGTTCTTCCTCTACGGACCGCAGGGTCCGACGTCTTTCTGCAATGGGCCGACATGTGCCGAGGTTCAGGGCGATTGGATTGTTCAGACCATCACGCATATGCGAGAGACTGATCACAAACAGCTCGAACCAACTCAACAATCGGAGCAAGACTGGAGGGCACTGGTGAACGGCATTGGTGCCGCCACCTTGCTGCCTGAAACAGCCTCAGAGTATATGGGCACAAACATCCCAGGAAAGCCTAAGGAGATGCTCAACTATCTAGGAGGTCTGTCCGACTACATCAAGCGTATTTCCAGCACGGTGATCGCTGGATATCCTGGCTTTGTTTTGAGCTGAACGGCTTGCATAGAATAATAGGTTGTTGCGAACTATGTAATTTGTAGACCAAAGGACTACTTGCGTTCTTTATCTTGCTCCTGTGGCACGCCTTGCAAGCATTGATGATCTCAAGTCGGGTGGCGTCTCATCACTCAGATAGAGCTTCCCATGCCATGAACTTATTTACTAGATCTGTGGTATATAGGATGTTCAAGTTACACATTGCTCATCAATCAGGGTAGTCTAATGGCACTCTAAGGAGATCCTAGTATCCACCTACGAAATGACGTGGCTGAAAAAGCATTTGGCTGGTACAAAATTTGCAAAATGAAAAGTTACGCGAAAGGTGCGATCTGTTAGCCACTGTATACCACGCTCTTATGGTACGCACATAACAGTGACCCAATACGATCGGCGAATGCAAAGGTAACTTCCCCTTACGAGCTATACAAGTCTTGTCACGCCTATTAGTTGGTGAGGCTTAGGACAAATTAGCATCGCCTTGTGTTGGGCACAATTGCGCTGCATAGTTTGTCGGAGGTATAGTACACTTGGTCATACTTGCTCTCAGATCCGCATCCAGGAGTGTTGTCATCTCCTCGGCTCTTCGAGTATGCAGCTACCAAATCTATTGCGCGGAAAGGTTGGCGAGATTGTCCCAAATTGTACATCTGCCGCGATCTTGCTGATTAATGTTTGAATTGCTAAAGGTTGCTGGGTTAGACTGCGACTCGTCTCCCAACCAAACAGAATTGAATTGTCTGAATTCAGGTGGTGTAGCCTTGGGAGAGTTCAGTCATGAGATCTGAGGAATACCATGCAAAATTGTCGAGCATGGCTCCCTCAGACAGAACAGTCGCCCAAGCATCCTGATTGGGGGGTAGTCTACCCCTCGAGTCCGTTTCTATTAACCAGTCCGCAGCTTCACTGCTGCTCGACCAGGGTCCCCCCAATGGCGCTATAACGTCGCAATGTGGCATTGGATTCTGAAAAGGAGATCCCTGGAGATCGCCTCCACAATTGAAGGGTTGCCCATGATCGGCTATCGTGGAGCCTGTGTCCGTGCCACTTGTCAGACTTGGCTCATGCTGAGGCTGTTGGATGTCCATCTGTGAAGCATGTTCACTGACTGCTGAGGTTGCAAGCTCCCGCTGACGCACGCTAAGCCGTGTCGCCAATGAATCCAGGTTTTGGAGAAGAGTTAGTGGGGTGCCCCAGAATTCGGTAAACTGTAAATAGGCCTCGCGCAAAGCAGAATACTTGCGTTGAGTGGTAGCTTGATCGTCGTCGAACACGGCGAGCCCCTTGAAAATCTGGAGAGCAGCGGCAATCCAGATGGTGCTGGCATAATATGGACTGACATATCTAGCATGATCTTTCGGACAGCTTTCGAGCAGTTCCAGCACCGTATCGCTGGTCTCCAAGAGCTTCTTCAGTCCGACACTGTAGGCCGAAGCGTAATGTGGCGCCGGGAATTGCCCGGAAAACTCTTCTCCCGTTTTGAACAAGGACCAAGGGATAGATCCGTCCACGATGCCAGCAAATACATAGTTTTGATAGATCATGAAGTGAGCAGACACGGCCAACATCCGGGTCATGTATTTCTCTGCACATGACCGTCGTGATGCAAGAGTATTTTCGGACCCATCCAAACCGAATAAGAGGGCTTCGTGCTGATGCCGTAGAGCCCGAGGTAGGTTGTCCAAGAGTGCATGGTATGCTCTCACCAAACTGGCCAGCTGCTGAGAATGTTCTTCTGCGATTTTCCGCTTGTGTCCATGGCTAAAGTATTGGACAAGCTTTGGAATATTTTCTTCGGGTTCGAGGCTAGAGAAAATCCCTTGTATATTCCCATGAGGTAAGATCAGCGCATCGCGCATCAGTGAGCTCAAGACAATACACCACGCAAAGCAGTCTTCGTTTCCGGACGCTTTTAGCCTCTGCCAGCGTTCGCCAGGCTCTCCTTGTAGTAGGCAGGGGGCCTGGTACCTTCCCGCGAACCAAAAATCATCGGAGGCGGGCAGACAAGTCTCATTCATTGTCCTATCAATTGCAGTCGGAGCTCGCTGGATCGTGGAAGCGAAAATATTCATTTCCCACAAGGCCCACCAGCAACGACGGCGCTCTTCGTTTGAAGTCCAGGCTCGCAATTCACTCTCTGAGGTAGGCGCTTCAACCAAGCCTTCATAATCGACTAGGTGAAGCCGAAGTTCGTACGCAACTCGTATGGCATACCCAACCAACCTCCAAGCAGGCCCGTAAACGCCACTCGCTAATTTGTAGAACCCTGCTAGTGTCATAGCTTGCAGGAGACACAGCCTTGGAGCGGTGTTTGAGCAAGCATCCAACGACGCATTGATGTATTTAAGTGAAAGTTCATGAAATTCCTGATGGAGAAGGTTAGAGCTCTTGGTTTCGGCATCGCTGTCGGCAGAGGTAGAGGAGAATCTAGACGAAATGGAAAACATTGCTGCGAACAAAGCAATGAGATGGTTATGGTCGCTCAGGTCGCGAATCTTATCTGAGAATGTGGGTTGATGAAATAGCGAGAAGGCCCTCAGTCCTGCGGCGCTCTCGAAATAGAGGTCGATCCTGAAATCAGCTTAATAAGCGTCAGTCGGTGCACAGATTGCACTGATAGAAAAAAATGACAAGCGTGTGATAACGCAACCTCGAAAGGGAGAAGAGCAAACATCACAAGAAATAAAGAACCGGTCAGACGCGAAGACGCTTACAATGATTGAATTTGCTGGATGGATAACTGGAGAACCTGGCAGGCTTTCGCCAATTTCTCCTGAACGCCAGCCATAATGAGAAGAAAGCCCGGTGAAGCTCTTCCTTTCTGATCCGGTTTCGAAACCGATGGCGCCTCATGGGAAGGGTGAAATAATGATGATATGCTTACGGCATTGGCGAAGTTGAGCGCCATTACGCCAGGACGCTGAGCAGTTGGGCTGGCAGAGCTAGCGCTAGGAGCCGCCCGGAATTGATAGGTCGATTCTTGCGCTGTTGAAGTAACGGAGCTTGCACGGCCAGGAGTGACGACGTCAGGGACTCTGGGATGCGTGCTTGCTTTCGGCTTCGCAAGTGCATCAGAGGCCTGCCGGCGGCGTCGAGAGATGGTAGATCCTACCAACCATCAGTAATTTGATTGCAAAATTGCTGATAAGCTCAACATACCTAGCTTTGGTCCTGGCTTCAGTCGCCTCTTGGGATACACGCAATGTTGTCCTGCCCGGTAGCACAACGAACATGTCGGGAGCTGACGGTCGCTTCAAAGATCACCGTTAGCAGACAATCGCTGATTACCGAAGGGTGAGCACAACCATCCTGATTTTTTTCCTAAGCGAACTGTCAGCTGGTGTATCTGATAAACACACGAAATGAGTGTGACAGCCACCTGCTCAGGAGGACATGACGTCGTAACGCCTGCTAGCAGATGATGTTCCTGCGACTTCTGGCTTAGGGATGGTGCCTCGGGGAAGGTAAGCCTACCTTTGCACGGCTCACATGCTAATTCAGAGCGCGCTGCGTGCTCATTCGGGTCAATAGAGGTCATGAGCGGGTTTTCGAAGGTGCAGGGAGTGTTCTCAGCGCAAACCGAAAAAAGGTCCGATGGCAATCAGACGGGCAATTGATCGAAATGCTGAAGGGAAAAGAATTTGTCCGGGGAATGGCAGTTGCAACTCTGGGGAAGACTTGAGAGGTTTGAGGTTAACTCCCCGCACTGATTGAAGCCAGCGGTCGTTGGCGCCCAGGCGGACCATACTTGTGGGTCTCCGAGCTATCCGAGAGGTGGACACAGCTCAAGGCCTGGTCCTCTGCTTGCCACTTGCTGCCCCGTGCCTGAAACCCAGGGTTGTGTCTTTGGCAAGTCACATGTGTATCTTCAAGCTTGTCCAGACTGCCACAAGTGTCTAAATGCCGTCGACATATTGCCAAGTCATCGACGTGAAGGGAACGCCTCTCGCACAAGAACAGCTTTGACCCGGCGACGTCGCTTAGCAAGGAACTGCTAGCCTTGTGAACCGGGACATGACAGAGATCTCACGTCGGACGAAAAAGCTGTCCAGGGTTATTCAAAGGTTTCAGACAGCTTCATTGGCTGTCTCTCTTTCCACGGCCAGCTTTTGTATGGTCTCCCGCGGCCCTGACCGTGTCTTTCCAGCCAGGACGGAGCTCAACCCAGAATATTAACTTAAGGTCTGACGATCGTGATTCTGTGGCCTCTAGACTAGCACCGTGCTAGCGGATATTTAGCGTAACCTCCTCGAATTAGGTGCAAGTAGCTGTCCAGGAGGGTCCTTGTACTTGGTGGGCCCGGTCTAATTCTGATTGCTCGAGTGGTCATCGCGGACTCAGCGTTTGGGATTCGCCTAAAAGCGCCACCAGAAATTCCAGCCACATTGTACGTAAACATAGCGCAAAGTGTCGTTCCCGCGTTAATAGAGTTAGAGTAGAAGTGATGTAACTCTGTTACACTACTAGATCAGTTTGAAGCGGGGTACTAAACTATATTTAATGCTAGACTACCCATTGGACAAGATACGAGTAGAACCTACATGGCCAGGTTGCGGACTGGGTCTAGGATCGGTGCCGTGTTGGCGCACTGCCAGCCCAAAATCCTGAAGGATTTACAGTTAAAGATTGTAAGAGAAAAAGGAAAGCTAATACTCGCTCTAGTTATATCTAGGATCCTGCGTAGCTATCTCGAACTTAGTGTACATAAACCTAGTTCTTGCTAGTTCAAGCTTCGATCCTTAAGATCTAACAAAGGTGAAAACTCGGCTTTGATATTGTGGCTGAAAATTGCTGGTGGTACTTTCAGTTGCACCCTACAGCTGGTCACTTATGGTCATCCTTGTTACTGGGCTACAGATCGTGACAATGGGAGGCTGTGTGCACTGCCTTTTCGTCTTCTGCTGAGGAGCGCCGTTCTCAGAATTCCACTCCGATATCTCGACTCTACTCATGTCCCTCCCATGACTCAGGGTAATGTTGTTCTAAAAGGTAGATACGCTGAGCGAAGAGGGTAAGAAGACCCTTACTAAGATCTCAGTGATATCGATGTTTCAGTCAAGTGAAGAAGTATCAGTATTGCCTCCTCGCTTGCCACGTCGCAGCAGATACCATCGAGCCAATCACATAGCTGACTTTCCCTAATCAAGGAAACGAAGACTTGCCTGAGCTTCCAGTATCTGTGCCTGCATGTAGGATAAACAACCCAGTATCACAAAGCCTGACAGTCGAGCAACAAGGTCGACAGTTTGACCCACGCTGCACTCAGTGCTTGTTCATACTCGGTGATCCCGATCACTTCAAGATTAAGAAGCGGAGTGGGCTTCGTAAAGGAAGTGATTTTATATAGCGGCCAAGCTCGGCTAGGGTCTCAAATACCCCAGCAAAAGCGCCACTGGACGTAGATGCCTATACCTCCTCATATCAAGGTCAATATTGAGCGTTGCAGCGTGGAGCATATGGAGACTGTGCAGAGAGATCTGTTCGTACACTGGGCTTCTATGAAGCAGGACGTGTCAAGTCTGCAAACAAAGGTTGACCGGCTAATGTTTCCACAATATGGCATGAGCCATGCTCTGAGATAAGTTACTACTATTAGTCGTAGTTCTTCAAGATGTCTCATTCTACTATCTTTAGGGAGAATCAAGCAATTAACCACGCTACATGTCTGAGTTATCAGGGACATGTTTTAAAGATGAGTTCCAACACTCTTTATTTAAACTAATCATATCTTTGCAGAGAAGCTGCGAGCCTTCTCTAACATATTTACCTGTACTGTGAACGCCAAGTGTTGCACACCACCCAGACTCGAGATTTGGCTTTTTTTTAATGGGTCCTCTTGGTCCAGACGTGGTGTTGATCAGAGCGAATATGCATTATATAGGTCGCCACTGGCCACTGCGGAGATGATCAGAGTCGGAGCTACTGTACATGGGCTGTCGCGGCTCGCTTAATCTATTTAGGGAGTCATCTTAGCTCCAGCTGTAACCCGATGCATGCATAGGTATGGTCTTCAGCCGACTGAGCATCTGTTCAAGGCGGCACACCGAGGGCCATGCCACCATCAACCGCATAAATTTGGCCCGTAAGCCACGAGGACTGCTTGCTGCACAAGAACATAGCTGTACCTGTGACATCCTCGACCGTTCCCAAACGAGGCCACGGCGTGGCTTTCTTCATGTGTTTGATGATATCTTCGTCCTCAAAATTCTGGCGGGCCATACCAGTCGCCACAACACCCGGGGCTATACAATTGATGTTGATCCAGTCCTGAGCGTGGTCCAATGCCCCTGCACGAGTCATGTGGTTGATGGCGGCTTTGGTCGCCGAGTACGCCACTTCATATGGGAAGGCAATATTGGCTGCGCAAGACGAGATGTTCACAATCCTGCCACGGCTGCCCCAGGTTTCATCGACCTCTTGCTTCAAAAACTGTTGGATGGCCAGTCGGTTACACTTCGCAGTACCGAGCAAATTGATGTTAGCCATCCTTTGCCATAGCTCGTCGTCCTCAGCGGCGAATTTTCGGAAAGGTGCCCAATACCCTGCACAGTTGATGGCAATATCTAGACGTCCAAATTTCTACACTTGAGTCAGTGTTCTGTCCATGGCATCGACCTGGATTTGACGGTCGACCTACCGCAATACCTTCTTTGAAAGCATGCTCAATTTCCGACATTTGGGAAATGTCGACTTTGAAAAATATAGCTTCCCCTCCTTGCTTTTTGATTAGGTCGGCAGTAGCGATGTGTAGGTCCTTTTCAAACCCGGCCGGATTGGCCTCTGGCTTCAGATCACAGCAGATAACGCTGGCACCTTGTTCCGCAAGACCAAGGGAAATGCCGCGACCCATACCACTGCTGGAGCCCGTGACAAGGGCCACTTTTCCATTCAACGTCTTCTGCGCCATCATGAGACGATATCTACACTGATTGTGGTGTCGTCAAGTTTGGGTGTGGGCGTCCAACGCTTTTTAGGACAAATACTAGACACGCACAAACCCCCCAGTTACATAGGTGGGGTACCGTCAGATCTCGGCAAATTGCTGTAGGCAGATCAATGGGTGTTGTGGAGTGATACGCCGCCATTCCTGCAAAGTATCGTCATGAAATGGATGGGGTGCAAGCTGGCCGAGAGTCATGGGAGGGTTTTGTTTTTTTCTGAAGTTGCTCCGGGAAGACGAGGGGCATCTCAGGTGGGCTCCACATCAGCCTACCCTGTGACTTCGGCTGCGCTTATTGGAGTTGAATCGGACCGTCTCTCGAAGCCGGTTGAGTTTAATTCTGTCTGCACGAGTAATCTGATCACTTCAACAAAGACGCCCTGGACGACTAGCACAGTTCAAAACTGGCCAGTACACAGTTTCTGTTCTCGACCGGAACCACTTATTTGTCAGAGGCATCAGAACCAACATTGCTGTCGACTGATCCTGCCGACTTGTATCTTGATATTGATACGCCTGTCGATTTTATACCCGTCGAAGAAGAATTTCGCGCAATGCAGGGCAAGGTATTCGCTGTGACCGGTGCCGGATCAGGCATTGGAAGGGCCACAGCCGTGAGGCTAGCGGAACTTGGGGTTCAAGGCATTGCCATCAGCGACATCAATGAGGCCGCATTGGATGAAACGAAGGCACAATGTATGCCCTAGTCTCAACGCGCAGCAGTATTCAAGGCTTACTGTGTTAAGGCAGTCAGTATCAAACAAAAGTCACGTGCAAAAGGCTCGATGTGGCCAAGGTTGAGGACGTCGATTCATGGATCAACGAGGTCGTGCACGATCACGGTAGGCTGGATGGTGCCGCAAATATTGCTGGCATCGCCGGCGGTGAGGGCCAGGTGACAGAGGACATAGTAAGAGCCAAGCTCTTCTTCGCCGATTCAAGTACTCCCTCAACTAAACAATGGCGTAAATGCTAGGTCCAAAGAGACTGGGAGAGAATGATCTCCGTCAACCTTACGGGGGTGATGAACTGCATGAGGGCTCAGCTGCAGAAGATCTCGAAGCCTGGAGGGTCCATCGTGAACGTGTCCAGTACATCGGGCCTCCGAGGTCTTCCCAAGAATGCAGCCTACGCCTCGAGCAAATTCGGTGTCATCGGCTTGACAGAATCGGCCGCAGCAGAGTATGGCAAGCAGGGTGTAAGAATCAACGCCCTTCTACCGTATGTCGCTTCCCTCTACATATAACTCCTGCAGGATGGTACTGAATGATCGAGCTAGAGGCCCAATCGATACTAAAATTTTCCGAGACGGCGAGGCGAAAGGGCTCTTTGATTCGGACATAATAAGCGCCGGCACCTTAATGGGTCGCATGGGTAAAGCGGAAGAAGTGGCCAAGGTATTGGTATTCTTATTGAGTGATGATGCATCGTTTGTGACCGGAGGTAAGTGACGCTTTAGCCACAACGCAGCACTGTCAAAATTAACATTGCATTCCTAGCACGCTGGACAGTGGATGGAGGTTACTCTGCGTGTGGCTTCTACAGGGCTGGATAAATGGGTCGTGTTTGCCATCCTGAGCGTGGCGCTCTTACAACGCAAGAAGGAGATATTCCCGTCGAAAGGTACTTTGTTCTCTAGGTTGCCACTGTGCACGTCTTGATCGTTTATGGTTCCAGCCTGCCGCTATCACAGTGAGGCTCTACCGCCGATCAGATCGTACAACGCTAGAGATTCTTCTCTCTGCTCTTGTTAATCACCAGTTCCTCCATGGCCTTTGGTAGATGATCTTTCTATTGGAATCAGCTGTTGAACGCGGAAGGTTCGCTGGCAGCGACCGTGGTTGAAGCAAGTAAATAACCCGGCAAGCGTGATTGAAATCTTTGAGTTCCATGTAGGTTATCCATCCATTCACTTGGGGGGAATCCGGACTCTTCGGGGTTATTAAGCTTGCACTCAGGGTGCAGTCCCCATGGTCACCAGTAATGTCAATAAGCCCTTTTGCAGAGGCAACATCCTCGCCGGACTCCTAGTGAGCGAGCTTCCTCACCGCATCTGACAGCACAACAAGCCAGTCGAACACTATCATAATAAGGTCCTGTTTCTGATTCTAACCTAGGCACGACATAAAATATGGTCATTGTTACCGAACAGGTATACGATGAAGCAAGTCCTACGTAACTAATAAGAGACAAGTTTCACAAGGGGAACCCCGTCACGTATTCACGACTACTGTGACCAAGGTAGTCTAGATCAATGGATTTTTCCCTTTGCAGCCTTGCCATCTCTACAGATGATGCTGATTTACAATTCTTGACATTCCACCCACCTATGGGTTGCCCGCAGGTGCGTCCTGATCAATGTGGCCTATGAATGCCTGGGATCGGTGCGTCTCTGTCTTCGTAGTAATTGGTTTAACGTCCGCCAGGAGCTCTTGGTAGGCTTTGTGCGTCTCAAACTCCTCCCACGCCTTTTGTGACCGAGTTCTGGAAACTTATTAGTAGCCTACTCGTCGTGTGGAGGTGGACACGTGAATCGAATCGCGTACCTGATATAGACACTGGCGAGATTGAAATCATTCACTTCTTTCAGTACTGCAAAACTCTGAGCTGCACCAGGGGTCCCAATCTCTGTCGCTTTGATTCGGTCGGCGCAGTCTGAGAGAATTCCCAACAACTGCTTGCGTCTACCTGGGGAGGCCGAAAAATGCACAACAGCCACAAAGCTGTCCTGCGCATCTCGGTCCTTGTCATCCTTTCGCGTGAGGAAACCGCCGAAATTGTCGTAATGGCGGAGGTCGTAGTCAGGGCTACCAAGTCCCTGAACATTTCGTAGCAGCTTGCCTTCGTCAACCTTGCGCATTTCCTTTTTGAAGCCGTCGCTCGAGACATGGTTCATGAAGAAGCCAACAGGGTGGTAATAGCCCTCTAGACCCCATATTGTATCCGGTGCACCATCAAGGTCGTGACCCCAGTAATAAGAATTTGAATACGGTTCTGTCTTGGATACTTTGCACAGACCTGCCAACACATCCCGCCACTATTATCGCAAAGATAGGAGTTTCAGCTGATTATGTCCTGGTCTTGGATTCTTAAAGTTTGCAAAAGATTAAACGTACTTTCTCCAAGGCCCCGTCCCGGCTCACGACACGAGCGACGACGAAAAAGAGCGGTGCACCCATTTTCTTGGTGGCGTTTTGAATGTCACAAGTTGGACGGAAGAATGCAGCGCACACGATTGCTGTAAAATTGCAGACCCTTCTGTGAGAGAACGTAAAAGGCCTTGTTGACTTCTGCGCGCATTCTTTTGGAACGCAATATCGGAGGAACTGAGTAGCACGCCGACATGTCATCTGCGCCACATGTACGGCATGATTTGCACACGTGACTTGGACCGATACCACGCGACTCCACTATCTTGTGAAGGCATGCTGCCCTGCTGCACGATATTCGTCGGGAAGATCATTTCTATCATGGTGACCATGAAACCCAATCGAGTGGCTAAGATTGGGGGTGAGGGCGGAGTGACTCAGGCAAGAGATCTAATCTTCACAGAATGCCCCGGGCCCACCGCCCCGGAGTAATTCAAGACGGAGACTCTCCACTGGCAAAAGGATGCCTCCGCGAAGGTCACCACGTGGGAGATCCTGACTCAATCGGAATTTCTCCATGGGGTTTGTCCACAGACAAGTACTCACGAACGCTCGCGGAGGTGAGAATCAACCCCCAGCCTTGGTTGGGGATTATGCGGCCTCTCCGACATTTGTGGAGGCGTAGAAAGCTTTCATGCAGGATACGTGTAGGTTGCGCGTGGCAAATACTCTAAAACTCAATGACTGACGAAGTTGCATTCTTTTAGCTCCACTCTCAGTACTTCCTTAGGGTGCCTATAGATTTTTTATGGAGTGTCTACAAGCCTGATAGGAACCCCCAATAAGTGTTCCAAAAGATATCCCTATAGGTATCCTTGATAGACACCTCTAAGAATTACTCCCTAATATGCACCCCCCAAATAGATACTACTAGCTATCCACCAAGATATGAGACTAATCTATATGTAGCTAGAGCTTCGCTCTGGCACGTAAACACACCAAAGTCTGACAAAAATTTCGCGAATTAGTGACACTCAGTAATTTGAGTTGCCGGACCAATTGAGTTTTGGTCTATGGACCTCGAATACTGTCGGTATCTGTTCTCCCTGCAAGGATAGCTATTATGCAACGAAAATAAAGGATTCTTCATCTCGCCATGATGGTCTCTTAAACAAGAACATCGCCAGGTAAACTTGTCTTCTCAGTACTTTCAACCCCTGTCAGAGACGTTTTGTATTCAGTGCCCTGGACCAAACATGGGATTCTTGAACCATAGAGTAGCGATTGCTACCCCTACGGATATGCAGACCCATGTCCATGTAAAAATGACGACGACCAACATCATGGTAAGTTGAGCCACTCTGCACAAGACTATCATTGTTAAGCAACATGGCAGACTATTCTGGTGGCTGGCATGGGGAGCTTTGTGTTCGGATATTGCAACAACGCGATCGCGGGATCTCTCGCACAAACGTCCTTCATTGAAAAATTTCTCAGTAATGACAATGCTAATTCTGTTGTCGGTGGAATCTTGGGCGCGTAAGTTCCGTTGTCCCCGAGTGAGGCTATTCTCATGTATCTGGATCTCACTAACGAATGAACACAACACAGTTTTCTAGGTGGCGGTCTTATCGGTGCTGTTGTCCAAGCCCCAATCTCGGATCGTTTCGGTCGTCGCATCGCAACAGGCTCTGCAGCATGCCTTACAATCCTATCTGGGGCGCTGCAAGCAGGCAGCGTTCACATAGCCATGTTCATTGTGGCTCGATTCATATGTGGCGTGGGAGCTGGTATCGTGATCACCAATTGCCCGGTGTACATGAGCGAGATCTCTCCGCCGCACATTCGAGGCTTGCTGGGCGGTAACCATGCTATCTCCATTGTCTATGCATACATCTTGTCCTCTCTCTTCGCATTGGGTTTCCACTACATCGAGGCCCCTTATCAATGGCGTCTGCAGTTTGTACTGCTCACGTTCTTTGGGCTGGTACTGTTGGCTTCATTAGCTATCCTGCCCGAGTCTCCGCGATGGCTCTGCGAAGTGGGGCGACAGGAGGAGGCCTGGGAAGTCCTTCAGCGGCTTCACCAGACCCCTGATGACCCCAATTCCAACCTGGCAAGGGATGAAATGGCCCAGATCAAGGCTCAGATTGAGGTCGAACGATCTTTACCAACCAGCTATCTGCACATTGTTCGCACACCTCACCTGCGACACCGGGCCGCTTGCTCCATCTTGACCTGGATCCTGGGTCAGTCTACTGGCATTCTAGTCATTGCTAATTTGACCCCAACCCTGTTTGGTCAGCTCGGCTTCGGTACTGTTCTCCAGCTGGGCTTGTCCATAGTATGGACTGTTTGTGCCCTGATTGGATGCTTTGTCAATGCCGCATTAATGGATCGAATAGGCCGGATCAAGCTCATGGGTAGGTGCTTCCTGTTTGGCTCCCTCGTTATAATTCTTTTACCACGCCGTTGTTCCGCAGTAGAAGACTGACCAACAATCTTTCCATTCATAGTCATCGGAGGTTACCTTTGCAGCGCGGTTCTTATCTGCGAGGCTGTCCTACAGAAGTACTATCTCAACAGCAGCAACACCACGGGAATCAACGCGGCTGTGGCTTGCTATTTTCTGTTCATCTTTTTCTACGGTTGCACAGTGGACTGTGCCGCATATGTTTATGTCTCTGAGATCTGGCCCACGCATCTCCGAAGTAAAGGCACCACGATCGGTCTCGTCTCCTTCTTCGGTGGTGCTATCGCCTACACCAGCCCAGCCTCGACAGCTTTCGCGACCATTGGTTGGAAATACTATTGGACCATGATTGGCGTCTGTATTGCCTCAGCCACGTTGATGCTGTTTCTTTGTCCCGAGGTAAGCCAATTCCAAAGCAGATTCTATATACTCTTTTCTCATCCAACTGTGCCTGTGCTTCCATACGTTGGAGGCATCGCCGATTCGAACCATGAGCTGACACTCTTCCTCTAGACTGCAAGGCTCACTCTGGAAGAGATTGGCGCCAAATTTGGTGATGAGGTAGCGTTGGAATTCCCGGAGGAGCTGAGTAGGAATTCAAATACAGTCTCCCCGCATCTAGGGGAGGAGGAGAAGCAGGTTGAAGACGCTAGAGAAGGATGACTGAAAAGGTCTCGTGGTGGTCACAGACTAACTGAGTGCCACTCGAGTCTCTTTTCCGGACTTTTCTGTCTGGTGCTAAGCCAGGGTTTCGGCGAAAGGATGAGTGTACGGAACAGTCTCATGCAGGATGTACGCCATTACGGTTAGCACGACCTTCAAGATGTAGTTATATATGTTGTGATATGAGGCTCAACCAACTATCATGATATTGATGAAAGCCTTATGGAATTATTCCGCGTGCTCGGAAATTGTTAGGAAGCTTCTAGAGTATTACTCTCACTGTATTTATACTCTCTACATTCTGAGAGAGTAGAAAGATAAAAAAAAATATATATGCTTCCACTGCCGTAATTCACAACAATATATAGTGTGTCGAATATGCATACATATATCTTCTGAGCATCTTCTTTTGAGTTCACGGGCGAATGAGTCATGATCATGAAGCTGCCTTTACAGAAGCAGGAGAATCTTACCATGCCGTTTCCATCAGCCATGTCTCTGCTTAGGTATACCACAACTGTTAACTCTCCATTAGGTTGACAGTATGGTTACTTGACCCTGACGCACTATTCCCCAGGGTCATGCGTGCCAGAATCTTGCTAATCTTTCTGAGCTATGCCAAGTTGTGTCGACGTTGTGAGTTTCCTTATAGTTCAGAGCTCTCTATTAAAGTCAAATAGACACCGATTTATATAGGTATTCCAGGCGCTAAAATGAGACTATGTATGCCGCCTATTTCTTCCGTACAAGTGGCATAATTAGTGGCGTAATCCTAGCGGTATTTTCCCAACACTCTCACTAGCTGTACAAGTCAAGCTAAAGGTGTCTCACGAAGATTGGATCCTCATTCTATAGACACTACGGCATAGTAGCATGTGCAGAAGATGTAGTAGTCAAACAATCCAACATATTATCAGGAAAACGTCGCAGACATGTATCCTGTTATAACCGCACCCTATTTCTAACTCTCCCTACTCCCAAGGTTGCAAGAAAGCAAGAGCGCTGCTCAGCTCACGTCGGATGGTAGCAACATGCTGCTCGCTGCTCGGTTTGATCTGCACCTTATACGGCAAGGGGGCCTGTAAAATTCCTGCATTGTAAGCGTGTGTGTCCAACGGGATTGTCAGGCCTGTAGCCGGGTCTATAGGTTCAGCGAACTCGTAAGCCCATAGGAGTTTAGCTGCAATTCGCCACATGTTCCGTTCGGCGAAGTGGATGCCAGGACAGAGACGGCGACCGGCTCCATATCCGTAATGATGTGTTATATAGTTAGCCACGGAGGTCTATTCCGGAAAGAAGAGAAAGTACTTATCTCGGGCACTCCATTCAGGACTGCTAGCATAGTCGTTGGCCAGCTTCGGGTGTTCTTTATATCTATCGGGATTGAAGGTATCGTGGTCCGGGAAGAGCGATTCAGTGTGGTGAAGCGCCCAAGTTGCTATAAAAAGCGTGGAATCTTTAGGAATAAGCATTCCCTCGTACTAGTCGTCTAAAAATATTTAATACTTCTCCAAAAAGCGGTAGACGAGAGTAGAGGATTCTTACCCTCGCGGACTCGATGCGGAAGCCCTGTAACGGCACTGTAGTAATCTTGTGAGCTATGTTATACCTTGATATACTTAAAGGATTTATCGACACTTACACTGGCCGCCATCTCATTCCTTCTTTCACAACTTAGTTAATATAAGGAATATCCTTAAAATCAGAAAACTGTGGAGCCCGAGTTGGTGGGCAGATCTTGTCAATTTCTTCGCGGGCCCTCTTTTGGACCTCGGGATACTTAGCAAACGCCAGAATTAGAGTCAGAATTTGAGCAGCAGTAGTGTCAGCGGCCCCCTCAACCACTTCTCCCACCAAATTATTAAATGCATGCTGCGTCATAGGCCATCCTTTCTTATTGTATTCGTCCAACAAGTGATCCATGATACAATCACGATTGTCTCCCTTTGCGCGACGGTCGTCGACAATACGACGAGCCTTACCCCACGCGGTGTCGAAGATTTGACCTGCTGCCACTGCGCGTCGTTTCCAGTGAGCAAATTTCATCGGGATCAGCTTCAAGATTGGGTATTCGTCAACAGGGGGATTAGCGCCGGCTTCCATTGCCTTGGTCCAGGTGTCCATAACATCGTAGACGATCTATGTATATTAGTTAGTATATTTATCCGCAAATTGAAAGGGTATGGATAAAACGTACATGGCCCCAAAAGGAATCGAACGTTGGTCCACGGTGTCCAAACGCAAGGACGGATGCAGATGATGCAGTATATCTCCGGATATGGTTGAAGAACGAGTCGGGCGTGTTTAACAGATCGTTGAGTAAAACAGTTGCTCTATTCCAGGGTTAGTAGACTCAGTTACAATAGATAAGGGACAACGTACTCTGCCTCTTGTACCAAAAAGTGTTTTTCGTCTAAGTTCTTAGGCGAAAAGTTATGCGAGATGACCTTCCGCTTCTCGCGCCAGGTGGAATCCATTTGCTCCAAGGCGATATGGTCGCCTTGAGTCAACAATCTGCCCACATAACTTGGAGGCCGATCCGAATATATAGCGCCTTTCTTGTCTAGGAGAGCATGGATGGCTTTACGGTCACAGAGCACAATAATGTTGCTTGGACCGAATTTGAGAGAGTAAACTGAGCCGTATTCCTTAGCCCATTCCCGAAACCTGTTACCCCGTTAGATGAAAGAATATCGTTAGCGAGCCCACGAGCTACTTACTTTGCATACAGCCCGCTCGAGGGAATTTGATGAAAGTTGCCGAGGATTGGAAGGGTCGGAGGCCCTGGAGGCATTCGAGGATCACGTCTACCGATTTGCAGCAGGCGATGGATACCTGCCGCAAGGACGACAACGACGACGACCGCCAAGACTCTGAAGTTTTCCATGACTGTTGTTCGGTGTGCTAGAGACGAATGTTGTGGCAGAATGGCAAGGGCTGCAAGTATCATTTAAGATGGCACATAATGACACATGCGTATGGTGTGCACCCCGCCAAAGCCTGGACGCTTCAATTCTTTAATGCCGCTAGCGCGTGTGGGTCTATCGTGTGGACGGGTCATCTTTCAATGGACCCCGCGGACTGATGAATAACACAATAACCCGGCCCCGTCGCCACTGCATGTGGCCAGCTGATCCTCTCCCAAGCATGCGGCGAGGCTCCAGCCGAGCACGGCAGCTGACACAAATCGCATTCCACACTTTGTGCCAAAACGACGGTATGCCTGACACTGAGTGACAGGATTTAGAGGCTGATGCTGTGTTTTTCCAACACATTAGGATATGATGGAGGATCGCACTAATCAGAGGCCTACAACTCAGTATCCAACGCGACTGATATGTTTTTTCCTTCCAAGGCAGTAGCGGGAGGTATTGATTGTCATACAATATTTCTACATGAACCTCAGGTGTCCAATCCAGCAAGCTTCCTTCCAGCTCTGTATCCAAACGTCATTCCAGGTCCAATACTCGAGCCACCTCCGGGGTACGCTCCTTTGAATACGGAATTTTGGTCGCAGCCCACCGCGTAAAGACCTTCAACTACCTTGCCGTCCTGATCGAGTACCCGGGCGTCCGTATCTGTGATCAGGCCGTAAAGAGTACTAACATTTCCAGGATAGAGCGGAAGTGCATAAAAAGGGCTGCTTTTGCATGGCCCCAAATTTGGATTGGGTTGGACGCCGTGGTCCCCGTAAAAGCGATCATAAGCATTTTCACCGCGACCGTACTGCAAGTCACGCCCGCTCTCCGCAAACGAATTGCATTCAGCCACTGTTTGCTCTAGAGTCTGTTTGGGAACGCCAATCTTGTCGGCCAGCGCGGAAATAGTCGGCGCTGCGATCAAATAACCTTGCCGAAGCAGTCTCCCAATAGGGTAAGGCCACGGTAAAGCCATCCCCATACCGTACTTACGTAGATGATTTCGGTCGCCAATATAGTAGGCCTTTGAGATACCCTTTTCATGCATGACCGTCACAAATTCCTGGTAGGGCTGCGCCTCGTTCGTGAATCGTTTTCCGTCCGGCCCTACGATGATCGAACCAGGCTTTGTCCGGTCAATGGAGAAGTGAGGATAGCGACGAACAGGGCCATCTGTGGTGCGCAACAGTGAGATAGGCGCGAATATGGCATTCATAGGATTCTTCGGTGGTAGAGCACCTCCGCTTTCGACGCCAATTCTCTTCCCGTCGCCCTCGTTCCCTCGAGGCTGCGCGCACCATTTGTGTGGGACAAATTGTTTGGCTTCATCTGATCGTCCAAACCCGCCACTGACAAGTACGAACCCTTTACGTGCGTAGATCGTGCTTTGCTTGCCTCCTTGGAGAACCTCCAGCCCCACGATTCGACTTTGTTCTATCACCGGCCTGGTGGCGGCGGCATTGTTCCATAGTTGCACACCTTGCTGTTGCGCGGAAAACAGGAGGCGCCCAACCAGCGCATTTCCATTCGCCATTTGCGTCCCCTTGCCACAGCGAGCCAGGTCCATAGCATACCGACATATCTTCTTCGTACCGAAAGCCAGGTTTCGAAGGCTGCCAAATGGGTTCGTGAGCATCGGCAAGTCTGCTGGGTCTGCTTACATTGAACCGAAGGCCGAATAGCCCTGGATCGGGTAACGGACGTTCTTGATCAAGGATCCGAGTCGGCGCCCATCAAACTCTTCAGTTAGGATAGTGCATCCAGCCGAGGCACCCTTCTTCGAGACATAATAGTCAGGGAGAGGGACAGGCTTGAAGCGAACTTCAGAATTGGCTTCCATCCAGTTGACCATCTCGGGCGCTGACTGGAGGAAGACCGAGATCTTGTTCGGGTCGTATCGCTCGCCCAAGACATTGCGAAGATAGACGTCGGCTAGAGATCTCGAATCTTCGACTCCTATTGATTTTTGGTGCTTGTTGGCCGGTACCCATGCGCCGCCACCGGAGTACGCGGTTGTACCGCCAAAATATTGCATTTTCTCGAGCACCAGGACTTTGAGACCATGTTTGGCAGCGACGAATACTGCCGTCAATCCCGAACAGCCAGAGCCAACTACCGCCACATCGTAGACAGCATCGTACTTTGAATCTAGAGAGTGTGTGTCAACAACATCAGCCGCAATGGACCAGTTTGCTGGGCAGTACCTCTTGGGCCTTGTTGACTTGCATAACGGCAACGAACCAATGGAACTGATACGCGCGATATCCTCCCGGATATCCTCCGAGAGAGGGAGGTTCCTGTCGAACCGAGCATGGAGCGCCGACTAGTTTCCGGTCAATAGGAAAGCTTTTGCAATGCCACTGTGCACGACAAAAAGTTGCTGTTCTTCTTCCACGCTCTTGCGTTATACTGTAACCATCAGTATTGGCGATCAGACGACGGTGGGAATTCCTGGAGTGCCGAGGCTGGACCACCAAGACGCATCGCTCGTGTAGTTGTGATTATTGATGCTAAGCGATTGTAAAGACCGTGGTCTACAATATCGCTTCGCCGCATTCGAACTAGCTCCGAGAGCTATTCGAACGCTATCCGAAGCGAACCCGGAGCGCCTAGGCGCTAATCTAGTACGTACTTAGGATACTATATAGTCTAACGAGTTCCTCGTACCGTCTTAGGAAGGATTATATTCCCTTCCTATTATATTTAGTAGTAACGACCTACGATAGCCCTTAGAGAGACCTCTAGGCTAGGGCCTTTACGGGCTCCGAAGTATCTCTAGGTACGAGGGACTAGAGTTAGCTTTATCGAAGTATTATCGAAATCTTAAGAGACGCTAGGAGTATATTTCTTTATCGCTTTTTATCGATAGAAGAAAGAATTACTTACTATAACCTTATCTTCTACGAAGAACGATAATTTCTTAATCCTTCGAAGGTAAAAAGAAGTAAGAAACGCTTAATAAACGGCTCTAAGCGAAGTTTTTCTCTCTTAGTAGCTAGACTATAGTAATTCGATCGAAGGCTAGTCTCGACTATACCGCGGAATTCTTTTAGAACTACTACGCGGCCTTTACTACCTCCTTTATAAAGGTTTATATTAAATCTATAGACTACTAGATTTAAGAACGATTATAATCTAGACCCTCTAGAAGTAGAATCGAAGTATAGCGAATTTACTATACGTAAAAATTTATTTATCGGAGACTTCCGATAGTACTAAGCTAATTTCTAAACGACTCTTCTATATTCTACGAGGTCGGAACCTATACTATTTTACGATAACTATAGTTACTCTCGCTATACTCTAGTAGCGAAGACTATTCGAGGTCTTATCGATACTTTTTTAGTAGTATTAGAAGGTAGCGAAGAGTATCCTCGGACCTCGAAATTTAAACTTAAGATACTTCGAGAGTAGTAACTTTCGATCTAGACTATAGTATAGGAGAAGTATATACGAGGCGGTAGTAGTCGACGAGTACTCTCGACTCTATAGGAGTAGTAGTTTTCTTACTACTTAAGTAAATAACTAATACTAGTAACCTAACTAGCGACTAAAAAGATTCGAAGGAGATTCGAAGAAGGAGGAAGAGGAACTATACGACTATCCGAAATAGCTATAGTTAGTATAGTATAAGGAAATTATTACTCGTATTTAATATTCTAGCTATAGTAGCGTCCTCGCTAGTCGAGGTTAATAGCTTCTATATAAATCGAAATAAACTTCGAAGTAACTTCGTTACTCTTCTTAAGGACTTCTTCTAAACTATAATTTAATCTATTTCTTATTTCGATTCTACTTATAATTTAATTTAATAACGATATATTAACTATTATATCTAATATATCTATAAATAATATCTACGAACTCGATCTTAAGGTAGTTTATATTCTAGTCGAGAAGTTAGTAGATAAGCGTATCGTAAGGGAACTAAGAACGACTAGTCTTCCTCTAAATAAAACTACTTCGTTAGAGCTAACCGAATATATCTTTCGTACTCCCTTAGCTATCGATATACCTAGAGAATCGTAGAAGGCGCTTCGAGCTCTTTCTACCGCCGGTCTTAAGGAACTTCCTAAGTATATAGGCTATCGTAAAGGTAACGCGGTAAAGATCTAGCTAATTTAAGTTAATCGCTAGATTAATACGCGTAAAATCCTAAGTAAGCGAGTCCTAGTAGATAAGGAACGTATCGCCTTAGTTACTTCGTACCTTAAGAAAGTCGCTATAACTTAGTAGAACTTATTTTACTAGGCTACTATTAATCGACCCGAGGAGTTCCTACCGATTAAAATATAGTAAGGATAGAAGGAAGCCTTTACTCTTTAATTCGAAGACGTTCGTACTTAGGAGTAGCGTCGAGATAAGTTCGACTCTCTTCGCTAGCTCGGAAGTATATAAGCCTTTCGTTATACTATCGATTCTCGACGCTTATATCTAAATCTAAGGCCTACGAATACTAATTATCTTTTCTTATTTAAACGAGGACTTAAGACTTATATTTATAATCGTATCGAACTTATTTCGAATACTCTTCTACCTACGAACTATACCTCTTATATTACCTTTATAGATAAGAGTAAGCGGGAATACTTAGCTTCGAAGTATCGTATTAGTTTCTTCGCTAATCGTACTTCCCTAAGGATAAATCGCTATTTTTTAGCTTACCGTCCTTATATCTCGAAGCTCTAAGTTAGCTTAAATATCGACGTAGATAGGAATATCGAAATATCCTTTAATACTATAAGGATTTCGAATACGCGTAGACGCCTTCGGAAAGCTAGAAGTAAGTACGAAGCTATTCCTCGAGGCCTACCTCGAGCTAGCCCTCCGCCTTCGTATAATTCTCGCGGCTCTACTACGACTAGAGCTAGTTCGATAGAATAGAGAAATATAGTTCGTCGAGAGGGACTCTATTTTAATTATATAAAACTCGGATACTATACGCGGATATACCTCGTATAAAAGGAAACCTCGGTTCGACGAGGCTCTTAGGGAAAAGCTAGACGTCGCTAGATATCGAGGCTTCTAGTAACGACTAGAATAAAGAGCCCTCGAAGGATAATAGATAATATTTAAGCTCCGAGGAGATAGAAATTAACTCCCTAGACTACTCGCTTAACTCTCTTAAGAATATAGATATAGACTTAGAATACTTTCGAGGTTATAATTTAGTAAGTAGTACCCTTAGATAGACGAAAGATACGAGAATAGTATCTATACTATTCGATATAGGCTTAAATCTCTTATTTATCTCGAAAAGAATAGCGAAGAAATTAAGAGGCGATATTAAGCTTCGAACTATTATTCCTACGAAGATTCGTCTTATAAATAGCGATATAACGATATCGAACTAATAGATTATTATCGGATTAGCCTTAGGAATCTTTCGTACTTATATCGTACTTCGAATACTTAACTAGAATATCTACGATATAATCTTAAGCTTAGACTAGCTAACGTAATATTAAGCTAAATAGAACTTTCGAGAATCTACTCTAATCCTTCGGAATAGGACTAGAATCTTAGCTTTCGTTAATCTTCGTCCTTTTCGGTATATCGACTACGAAGGAATTAAGGAAGTAGGATTAAACCTAATTAGCTATAAAGTAGTAGCTAAGTAACTTCGTAAATCGTAAGCTCCTATAAGGGTTTAGCTAGGAATTTAGAGTAATTCGTCTAACTACCGTATAACGAAGATATTATAATCCGAGCTATAAGTAGTTCTAACTAAGGTAGGGTTCCTTAATAGAATAGGTACTAGAGTATTAACTAGGATAATAAGGGAATACTCTATTCGTCGGACTATATCCTAAAATATAGGTATAGAATTACTAACGAAGTTAACTACGAACTATACTATCTAAGTAAAGGAGTATATATATATAATACTTAAGTACTACTTTAGTATATTATTATAATAGAAGTAATATAGTAATATAGTAATATATCCTCCGGTTACGTAATATAGCTTCGTTCTCTATCGGCTAACTTTCCTCGACTATTCCTCGAAACGTAGGGCGCCTATCCTAGCGACCTTATTCGTAACCTAGTTTATAATACTATCTCCTCCTTCTATCTATATTACTCTTAACGTACTTAAGGTAATCGCTTCTCCTCCGCTACGCTTCTCGTCTTCTTTCCTTATAGCTAACTATATCGCTCTTAGGTATTAAGAAGAGTCGTCGATCTTCTAAATTCGTTTATAACTAGAACGCGCGTCGCCTTAAAATTACGAACGCTATATCTTCTAATCCTAAAAATACCGCTATAGTCGTCTATATCGAATATATTAACTATAATATTATTTATTTTTATAATCGAGAGTAGTCGGTAAAATACTCTAAATATTTTCGGTACTAAAGAAACTATAATAGTACCTTTTCCGTAGAAGAATTTCGAAAAGTTAGGAAATAAAAGAAATAGTTCTAATTTAAATTCCGCCGGAAGCGCCGCGAGATTACTCGACTTCGTTAAGTTTTACTAAAGGCCTAGAAGAATCTTCTCGACGTCGAGGAGTTCGATAGTAACCTCTAGGATTCTATAGCTTAACTAGAAGTATAGTCTAGTCGTATACTTCGTCGTAAAATAAAAGCGCTAGGCGTTCTCGAGTTCGTAGAAATATTCGCCGGCGCTAACTACGAGTTAGTCCTTATCGAACTCGAGTTTATTTTTAATAGTTAATTCGTAACTAATTCGATAGACTAGAAATAAGTCCTAGGTTCCTCTAATAATATCGAGTAACTAGTTTCGAGTTAAGGTTCGTTCCTAGTTCCTAAGTATTTTCCTCCTCTAGATATTCTAACTATTTAATTAGATATTTTATCTAGTTATTTTCTTACTTATACTAGAGTATAGTTTCTATATTATAATAGAGTTCTTAGGTTTCTTTATCGATATATACTAGTCCTAGTCTAGTTCTTTCTAGTACTTTTTCTAATAGCGATTTATAGAATACTAAGTATATATTTAGTCCTTCTAGTAATTATAGCTTATAAGAAACTAGTTTTAGTATCTTCTTAATTCGATATAGACTAA